TTATTGATTTAACAACAGTATTAATGAAATAAATAAAATTTTATTAAATATAGGAGCGTAAGTAATTTATTTCATTAATGATGATACTGAATTAACAAAATTATTTTTAAAATAATGCTGTTAACATATCATTTTTTGTCAGTATATTATCTTTTAATTTATCTTCGCTCAAGCTGAACGAAAAATACGCTGAACTGACAATTTGCGCGATTAAAGTTACAGTGAGTGTATATTATAGATGAAATATTTTTTATGTCATTTATTTTTAACATTTTAAAGAATGTTTCCGTGATTTACTTTGAAGCTTAAAAAACAGTTAAGACAGTAATTTATTAAGATACTTTATGCAAGAGGATTTTGCAAAAAGATTTTAACAAGCGTAAGTCGCAAGTAATAGTAAAACTTTTTATTATCAATTGAATTTTATAATTTAATTTATTTTTTGTTTTTATTATCTTCGCCACTTTCTTTTCTTCTTTTGCGACAAATTTGTCTTTTCTCCAAAAGTCATAGAATATTCATTTTATTTCTTTTAATACGCAAATTTATATATTTATATATTTTTTGATTTGCTGAATAATAAATTTAGTGTCGTAAATTTTGTCTGGCGACAAAAGTAAGGCACGGTATATAATAAGAGACAAGTAGTTAACAGTATAGTAGCAATGTAGCAAATCGCAAGCAGCTGCAATATTTTATTTACAGAAATTTTTACGATCTTTAGTCGACCTCGGCTCGATGAAAGTACAAAAGCCTCTCTCATTAAGGGATCAAATTGTTTGCCATAATAAGGATCGGTTTACGAGCACTCTTGATTCTTAATAAGCTGTTCAGAGCTTTATTTAACTATGAATTTCTTTCGCCTTACTTTACCTTGCATTTTTTTTTAAGGTTCAAAGTTAGCAACTTTGGTTTTCGGACAAAGATTACAGAAATTTGTATAAAATTTGCATAAAATAATTATTGCACTTCTTCGCAATATTAAAAATTTAACAAAAATAACTTTTCATAGATTAACATTCAGCAATAGCGACAACAAAATATCATAGAATTACACAAGTATCTCTTTTACAGAATATAATTAGAGTGTAATTATATATAATGGCTTGATAGCTTCCAAGAGTTAATTTGATTCTATGTGATAGTACTCGAAATGCTTCCTGCAAACGTGACTTTCTCGCTGCAGCTCGTTAATTAATTATGTTATAAAATCGCGCATGATTCTTTCTGACAGTTGCTTTACGTAGCTTAACGAGAACATCTTTTATTAATTATAAAACGATATCTTTCATTCCGCATGGCGTACAATTCGAGTTATCTAAAAGCGTAAGCTCTTCACTGAGTCTTTAACGTTATATCGGAGTCGTCATATGTATTGCGCGCGGCGGTGCGAAAAGCAATTACGGTCCATTTTGTGGAACTTGGCGTGTACCTGACCGATGAAATGACATTACTCTCCCGAACGTGAAAATAACAAGCCGAATGAATTATTAATGCGCTGACTCCGAGGTGCGCAACGCGAATTCTAACAGAAACCATATTTGAAAGAGATTGTAATATGCGATCCACTTTGGCCAAATTATCAGCTTTCGCTAGCCTATTTTAGCCAGCCAAATTATTTAATTTAATCTATCCACATTCTGAAAATATTCTCCATAATGATTTAAACCGCATATTATTATTTCTAGATAATTATATCTTTGCAATTTTATTTATTAAAAAGGTAATGGAAAATGGTAATGAAAAATAGCTACATTAAAATAATATTTTTCAATATTTTAATAAGAGGATGTATTTAAAATGCTTTTGTTAAATATAACAATTTTTTTAACAATAAATTTTATTATAGACTATGAACAGAGAGAGAGAGAGAGAGAGAGAGAGCTGTATGAAATTACATAATTAATTACATAATTAACTCTATTGTTCCACGTCAGCAATTTATTTAGAGTGACCTTTATAATTACTAATGCAAATATTGTGATGCAAATATTATTGCTCTTTATTAATATCGATTGATCAGCTTTAGTTGTACAAATTATGTTTGCATGATACCCTTAATCGGGTTTAATAACATCCATATTTATGAAATTGGTCAATCATAGCTATTTCTGTGAAGAATGGAATATCTATGATTAGACAGTTTCATAACTACGGATGTAATTAAACCCAATTAAGAATACTATGTAATCATAGTCATAGATCTGTTTACATTTCGTCATGGAAATGGTTCCCTTTAAAAATTGATTAGGTTTTACGGTGACGGTGATGAAACACGATCTCGATACGTTCGTAATTATGCGGAATTCTGAGTTCTCGACGTGATAAAACTTAAATAGAGCGCGACAAGAGGGAATCCAGGCGAGAAACTTGATGGATGGGAACGTCCAGAGATGCAGTAAGACGAAATTCTTTCCACGAGACTTCACAACAAGTAGGGTCGACATCTAGTACGATGTTCTCTTTAGCTTTTTCCGCGTAGCGTTGATTTATTTTCTTATCTTTTATCAAGGCAGCTAGCCAACGCTCTTTGATCACAGTGTAAGTTAATGAGATTTGTAACGAATGCAGTCGTAAGGCTAGTTTTCTGATTGCAATCTTAATGCTTAGTTTATTTCTTGTTTTCATGTTTCTTTGATCATAACTGTTATTAAATAAATTCATCGAGAATTATTAAGGCCCTCTTTGAAAAATCATGGAATATTTTCTTGTTTGATCTTTTCTATTTGTAACTCTCGTCCGAATAGTTTATATAGAACTGATTTAATAATTTACTTCATTATAGATTTTTTACGATTTTTTTCAGATGTTTATTTTTATTTTTACGTTTAGGTGAAATAAAGAGAGATAAAAAAAGATCCAAAAAATTGAAGAGAAAACACAAATCATCAATCGCATTCGCGAACACGATCCAACAATAGAAATTAATGCTATGTCAAAACGTCCTCTGGCAAGGATCGAAATTCGCTTTAATTAGATTTCCAATTCAGTTTCAGCTATTTGCGAACAACATATCTCGTTTCGGACATTCAATGTCTACTTTGTGCACCGTTAATAAATAGATGTGTATAGTCGCCAGGTATATCACTTCACAAACCTCTAACCATTTCCATAACGATATGTATTGATTACAATGCCAGTTTTGCTAAATTAATCGCATTGTTGCCACTGTCATTTTCAACGTCGATAATCAAAATATCGATACTAGACACTAAAGGAGAATATTTCATAGATCAATTTCAGTTTACAAGAGTAGTTACTTTACAAAGAGTTTAGTTAATCTTTTACAAGATTAATCTTAAATTTAGCCACAGCAGAAATTATAATGAGAAATTATAATAAACAAAATAGAAATAGAGATTACGGCAGGCTAGTCTATTATTTTAAATTTCTTACTAACTTAAATTATATCTTTTATATTGCGTACATAAAATGCAATAATACAAGAGAATCTTAAATGTTTTTTTTAATTTTAATTAAAGAATTAGTTTTTTACATTGCTTATATTAGCTTTGAATATTCTACATAACATGAAAAATTTAATTTTTCTATTTATCAGATACATGCATCCATTTTATTTATATTCTAACTTTATTTAAAGAATTAAAAAATTTTTGATATAATTATTACATATACACATTATTACATGTGATTCAAATAATATATATTGGAATGCAATAAACAGAAAGAAACATCTTAACTGAAAATACAAATCATGATGCACGTGGCGATGTATCGGAAGTACACACCGGAAATATACAAATGCATTATGAGTTTCTCACAATATTGTTGATTAATTAATATCATCAGTAACCTACTTTCGTTAATTGTAAACGTAGTAAATGTACGATCGCTAATTAACACGAATCTGTGGCTTATAATTGTCACGTTCCGCAACAAAGCAGGTAACTTTTTAACATCAAATATTGCTCTGATTATTTAGTGCACTTATTATCGAACACTTTACAGAATTGATTCTCTCTGCGGTTGAAAATAAATACATATTCGTAATTCCTTCAAAATTATTGTGATGTGAAACATAAGGTCGTTTTTAAAAACAATTAAAAGTTTAGAATGTTAGAGTCGACCTAATTTCCAAATCTAAAATTAAACATGTAAAATTCAATTTTGATTGCACATTTAATGAAAAGTACCATTTATTAAATTTCGTTAAGTTAAGTTAAGTTAAGAAGAAAGAATTGAAGAATAAAGTACCATTTCCTAAAAGAAATTTAGATGGTTTTACTTAGAAAGCATTAAAAACTTTTACGAAAGTATCCTCATTAAATTTATGTAATTTATTATGTAATCAATTCATATTTAAGAAAATTAATAAGTAATGTACACGTACTTTTTCAAATTTAATACGTGACAGAAGATCTCGAAGAATCTTAAATATTAGGTTAAGGAAAAAGTCCATTTACAAGTTGATAAAAAGATTTTTTTAGCAATTCATATATTCTATTCTATTTAAAAAAATTGGCAATTATATCACTTGACAACGTTTTAGTTTTAAGGATCTGTATTTTTAATTGTGATACGATGATTCTTAACGAAGTTACGAGCAATAAAGTCAGAATGTTTCTTTTTACTTAATCCGAGTAATTTAGAAATCAGGAACAAAAAATCAGTAGGAACATTTAAAAAAATTATTTTGTATAGGAAAAGCTTCAAGCTAGATAGTCGAAAATTTGCTCAATTTTTTTTTTTTGGCACGCTATACAGACTTACAAAGTGAAAAGAAAATTTTTGATTTTTTCAGCTCGTAGTTTTTTATATATAAAAATTACAAAACTCACATGAATTTAAAAAATATAAGTAATCATTCGAAAGTAGAGATTCCAAACCCTTTAAAACCCTTTTTTTTAAATTTTAATTTTAATCATTTTTAACGAAGATATTAATGGGAAAAAGTCTTTTTACCAACTTGTAAAGGGACTTTTTCTCTAACCCAATATAAACAAAGTCCGCTAACGATGCTAACTACTGATTGGACTCACGTGTGCCATCATCGATGGATAGTGCGGGTAGAGAAGGAAAGCTCCGATGAGGTGAGCGGCCGAGAAAACAATCCCGGCGATGCAGGCGTGTCTGAGTCTGATCGGTAGAAGAGCGTAGGCCATATAGATGAAGAAGCAGACCATTAAGGCAGCAGCGAGAGGACCTCCGGTTCGAAGATCTTTCGATTTCGAGAAGAATGATGTATCGCTGGTATTCTCGCGACCCACTTCGTGCAGTCGTGCTAAATGAATGCTCAGAGTCACTTGTAAAGCCAATAGGGTGACTAGCACTGCACCACTAACGCCCGCCAGCCATATCTCATTCATGCCCGGTCTTGAAATAGCTGCTACCAAAGCTGAAAGGAAATTTTGAATTTCGGTTGAAGTAATATTTTTCGCCAAAATTATTTAGATTTTAACATTCCTATCAGCATCGAATATTAAGATATTTTTAAGATGCATCAATATTATTAAATTGCTTGTTAATTTAATTTGTGATATTGTTACTCTAGTTCTGTTAGAATTGCGTTTCAAGATTGTTAAATTTGACAAGTTAAATTCGACGCGCAGTTTGCAGAATTGAATATGAGTATATAAATTTACATCGAATTATTTAAGTATTAAATATTCAGCTTGATCTTTTGAGGTCTTTATTTATTTTTCTATTTGTGTATTTATCTTATGATCTTGAAAGATACTTTGTTTATTGAAAGGAAAGTTGCTCATTACTGATTCTTACGTTTTGAAGTGTTCGATGAACACATTTAGAAATGTAGAGCCAGTACGAAATGGTATGAGTATTCGATATATATTTTAAACTAAAGTGGATGATATTTTAACAGCTTTTTCGCGATTTCTAGACTATTTTGTCTTTCGTACGAACATCGAGAAAAAGATTATTTATATCACAGTCTTCCCAAGTTTTTACATTAAACATTCTATATAAGTAAGTTTCTTCAGAAAATTCGATTAAAGTTACTAATGCAACGAATTATTTGGTCAAGTTCGTGCTGGTCGAAAAGAAGGTACGAAGGAATAAGCTCTGCGAGTTATTGCGATGCGAAAAGCGGGTCTCATTGCGTGTTCTGACGCTTTCGAAAGGAAACAATACTTGCAGACAATATTCTCATGCATTATTGATACTGAGACCTCGTGAAACATTGAGGCTCAGGCAAAACAGGGATTCTCTACATACATAGACGATAGTATAGAATGCACGTCTTTTAACGTCGTTCGCGACATTTGACTACAGAACTATTTCGATGCAATTCCAGTAATGTTCAAACTGCATATTTTATGAAAGCTCGAGATTTTTCTGTAAATAAGTTTCTGTCGTGATATATCAACATTGGACGATTAGATTTTTTTTCCGCAAATATTTCGAGCACTCGAATTTGATTTTTCATACGATGAAAGGAAACGTAGAAGTTTATCGAAAGTTTATAGAATTCTTTAATATAATTGTAATTGTAATATATAATTGTAATTGTAATAAAATTAAATTTATATAACAGAAAAAAATTGTTCATTTTAGCACGTAACGTTTAGTAAATAACTTTTTTCTTTAGCAAAATTGCGCCCAATAAGTAATTTTTGCAGGAGAGCAGGTTGAAGTTAATAAATAAGCGCAAAAATTATTTATCGAACGCAATTTTGCTGAAGGAAAAAGTTATTTGTTTTAGCATAAAGTAAAAAAAAAAAAATATCTTGTATTCCGAATTCGTGAATTTCGGATCACCAGTATATATAAATTAGTTTAATTATAAATAAAAATAAACAATTTTTTAAATTGAATTTTTAATTGAAAATAATATTCAAAATAGATTTTAAATTGATTCAAGAAAACGCGAAGATACAAAGAAAATGCAAACAATATTTAAATTTTTTTAAATTCTGGAATAATAAGTTTAAATAAATTCCTTAAATTAATACAAAGTTACTTTTTATATACAAAGATCTTATATACAAAGATCTTGAAGCAAATGCAAACTTAATTCTGGCATCCCGGAACTATCGCTTTAAAATGAGAAACTTTGATTGTGAAAAATTAATTCATGGAGATTGAGTCTTACCGGCGTAAATAACAATGCAGGTCACTAGGGTGATTGCGAGGGAAAGATTTTCAGGTCTCTGTAAGAGTGTGATGAGCGACTGGTTGCCGGTCAGCATTAACTTCATGATAAGTAGTAGGCCCAGTGCCAGCGCTAAACCGACCAATAGACCGAGCACATGTGTCATGTTACTTTGATTCATACGTAGGAAGTAGCGTTGGTACAGCATTTCAACCTGAAACATATGAGCACAGACTTGCCACACATTGGGTTAATCAATAATTTGTCTGTAAACTAATAACATTATAACTCATATATATGCCATATCGTGAAGGGATGTATATTATATAAATTCATAAAATAAGGTATTTTTACAAAAATAGAAATTTTAAAGATATCATTTATTAAAAATAATTTATTATTGTGTGTGACATTTTGTAGTAATAATAATACACATCCCATTTATAATTTCGAATAGATCTTTCTAAAATATAACTTTAATAGATTTTAAATTTTAATATTATTTTATTTAAAAAAACACAATAATTAATTCAGTTTTTAATAAAAAAAAGTCTGTTACATATTGTACAAAAAAATCTTAGATTAAAAAAAAATGTATGGAATATGGTATACAGAATAAATATTTGATGAAAGCAGTGTGGCTGTCGCACTAAATTAATAGTTAGTCACTGGGACCGAATAACGAAAATGAAACATTCACTGCACTATATATTATATATAGATAGTTGTGTGAAATGACAGTTACATGCACAGGTATGTACTATGTAAAATTTATTTATTGTACTTTTCGGAATTGCATCACTCATAGAAAAATATATGTCGCGAAATGCATTGCAAAATTAATTATTACGTTGTTATCAATTGATTGGCGTTTATTCGAATTTGTGCGAATCACTAATGCATCATTATTATCTTGTTCGTC